ACATACCCCCACCACTCAACACTCTCCAACACTCTCCACACCTCACGCCTCGACACCCAAATGCCTAACATTGAGCGACCCATCTTCAATAACATTATCATACTCCCAGTTCTTAAAGCCAGGGATCTGAAGGGACTCGCCCAAAGCCAGCTCGAGCTCCTTAGGGACGATATAACAGCCGGCTTCCTCCCCGAAGGTGTATTCTGAGCGACGGTACACGCTGAGGGCCAGTTGGTGCATCTCCATAGGAACCTGGGAAGGGGTGGAGGTTTAAGTACTAGGGTGCTACTAGCTTGAATTGGTTTGTTATTGCTGTTGTTGTTGTTATTGTTGTTATTGTTATTATTATTAGGATTGTTATTGTTATCCTTATCATTTTTATCTTTATTTTTATTAAAAAAAAATTTGCTTATCTTTTGGCAGAAAAAATATTTAATTTTATTAATCAGTCTCGTTATTGCTCTTAAGTTTTACTTTCTTATTTCTTTCTCCTTGTCTCAATTTTTATATATTTTTTGTATCTTATTACTTTCTTTTTGTTTCATTTACATTTTTATTGTTCCTTATTTCTTTCTTTTCATCTCGTAAAAAAAATTATCTTCTTGTCTCAATTTTTTCATTAAAGAAAAATTCTTTCTAGTCTAATTTTTTTCTTTCTCTTTTTTTCAAATCAATACCTTATACTTCCGGGCCATGTCGTAGCCGAGTTGCAGATCCTTGTTTTGCAACGAGAGGGAGAAACCGGGGTCATAGTCGCCTCCGTTGAAGATCACGGGCGACGCTGTTTCCCACACGAAGCTGTTGCCGACGCTAAGGCGAATTCCGTCCCAGAACGTTTTCAGGTCGATGTTGGCGCGTTTTCCTGCGTCGGGGGGGAGGAAAGGGATGAGGGAGAGGGGTGATAAATGGAGGAAGAGAGAGAATGAAGAAGAATAAAGAGAGAGAGAGGGGGAAGAAGAAAAGAAAGAGAGAATGAAAGCAAGAAACACGAAGCTGTTGCCGACACTAAGGCGAATCCCGTCCCAGAACGTTTTTAGGTCGATGTTGGCGCGTTTTCCTGCGTCGGGGGGGAGGAGAGGGATGAGGGAGAATGGTGATAAATGGAGAGAGAAGGAAGAAGAATAAAGAGAGAGAGAGAGAGGGGGGGGGAGAGGGGGAAGAGGAAAAGGAAAACAGAGTGAAAAGAAGAAACACGAAGCTGTTGCCGACGCTGAGGCGAATCCCGTCCCAGAACGTTTTCAGGTCGATGTTGGCGCGCTTGCCTGCGTCGAGGGGGAGGAAAGGGATGAGGGAGAGTGGGGATAAATGGAGGAAAAGAGAGAGGAAAGAAGAATAAAGAGAGAGAGATAGAGAAGTAAAAGCAAAAGGAAGAAACACGAAGATGTTGCTGAGGCGAATCCCGTCCCAGAATGTTTTCAGGTCGATTTTGGCTTGGCTTGCCTGTGTCGAGGGGAGGAGAGGGATGAGGGAGAGGGGTGATAAATGGAGGAAGAGAGAGAGGGAAGAAGAATAAAGAGAGAGAAAGGGGGGAGAAGAAAAGAAAGATAGAGTGATCGGAAGAATCATGAAGCTCTTGCTGAAAAAAATATGAAAAAAGGATGAAAAAGTAAGAGAGAGAGAGAGAGAAAAAAAAACGATGCTATTTTAGGGAAGAAAACATATCGAAAAATAGTCTTAATTAAAAAAACCTACATTTATGTAGGAAAGTGAAGCAGCACCCTCAGTTATCTTCATAACAATATATATCGTCATCACCACACCATCAACACCATTTTTATGATCATCACCATTTTTCATCACATTCATAACAACCGCCGTCACCATCAACTCCATTTTGATCACCATAACTGTTCCACCTTTTTCATCATCATCACCAGAGCCATCAACACCATCACCACTATTTCCATGCTATTGCCACCATCGCAATCACCACCACCATCACATTATCAACACCATGACCACCACAATCTTCATCATCACCATTTTCATCCCCACAGCGATTATCACCACCATTTTCATCTTCACCACCATCACCATCGCCACCACCACCATCACCATCATCATCACCATCACTACCACCACCATCACCACCACCATCACTACTATCATCATTACCACCATCACCACCACCACCACCATCACCACCACCATCATCACCACCACCATCACCACCATCATCGTCAACACCACCACCACCATTATCATCACCACCACCATCATTATCATCACCACCGCCACCACCACCACCACCATCACCACCACCACCACACCTCTCACTTACCTAACATCAGCGCTTCACCCATGGCCACAACATGGACGCAGCATAGCATGTTGGACACGACTTTGATAACCATGGCCGCTCCGACAGTTGGCCCGACATAGAAAACCTTGATGTATGAGGCCTGGGAGGGAGAGGGAGAGAGAGAGAGAGGATGAGAGAGGGAGGGAAAGAGAGAAGATGAGAGAGGGAGAGGGAGGGAGAGGGGGAGAGGGTGGGAGGGAGAGAGGGAGGGAGAGGGGGAGAAGGAGAGTGAGGATGAGAGAGGGAGAGGGAAAGAGAGGGAAAGAGGGTGGGAGAGAGAGAGGGAGGGAGAGGGGGAGAAGGAGAGAGGGAGGGAAGGAGGGAGAGAGGGAGAGAGGGAGAAGGAAAGAGGGAGAGGGGATGGGAGAGGGAGGGATGAGGGAAGGAGAAGGAGAGAGAGGGAGAGAAGGTGGGAAAGGAAGGGAAGGGAGGGAGAGAGGGAGGGAAAGAGGATGGGAAGAGGGAAGGAAGCGAGAGAGGGAGGGAGGGAGGGAGAGAGGATGAGAGAGGATGAGAGAGGGAAAGGGAGAGAGGGAGAGAGAGGGAGGAGAGAGAGAGAGGGAGGAAGGAGGAAAAGAAGGTGGGAAGGAGAGAGGGAGAAAGAGGGAGGAGGGAGAGAGGAAGGGAAGAATGGAAGGGAGGGAGAGAGGGAAAGAGGGAGAGGGAGGAGAGAAAGAGGGAGGAATGGAGAGAAAGTGGGAAGGAGGGAAATTGAAGGATAATAGATAATAGTAACAGTAACAATATCAATACTAATACTGATAATGATAATAATACCAAAATAACAAGGAGGACAGCAACAAGAACAAGAACAACAACAACAACGACAACAAAAACAACAACAACGACAACAACAACAACGACAACAAAAACAACAACAACGACAACAAAAACAACAACAACGACAACAACAACAACGACAACAAAAACAACAACAACGACAACAAAAACAACAACAACGACAACAACAACAACAACGACGACAATAACAACAACGACGACAATAACAACAACGACGACAATAACAACAACGACGACAATAACAACAACGACAACAACAACAACAACGACAACAACAACATATGCTCACCTCCAGAATAGGCATCATAGCATCAGCCACGACCTTATCTCCGCCCACGTAGGCGATCATCTGGCCCTTCCTGAGGGCGTCGAGGCCTCCTGTGATGGGCGACTCTAGCATATGGGCGCGAGACTCCTGCACCTGCTTCATGTACACCTGCGGGAGGGAGTGGGCGGCGTGGGGGGAGGGGGGAGGGAGTGAAGGTGGTTAGGCTCTGGGATTTTTATTTGTTTTGCTTTGTTTTTTGTTTTGTTTTGTTTGGTTGGGTGATTGGTCTGTTTGTTTGTGTTTTGTTTGTTTGTTTGTTTGTCTGTCTCATTCTCTTCTTTTTCTCTTTCTCATTTTCTCTCTCTCTCTCTCTCTCTCTCTCTCTCTCTCTCGGCCTTTCTTTCTCTCTCTCTTTCTCTCATTCTCTCTCTCTCTCTCTCTCTCTCTCTCTCTCTCTCTCTCTCTCTCTCTCATGCACCTCTTTATCATCATCTTTTGTTCAGTCATCCCAATTGTTAAAATTTCTTTTGTAAACATGAATTCTTTCAACGCATTCTTTCTCTCTCTCTCTTCCTCTCTCTCTCTCTCTCTCTCTCTCTCTCTCTCTCTCTCTCTCTCTCTCTCTCTCTCTCTCTCTCTCTCTCTCTGGCTCTCTCTCTTCCTTTCTTGATGCTTAACAAGTCAACAATATAGATATCAAGTGAACGAACATTATATACAGATATATCATCATAAAAATAGATGGATAAAAGTGAATAATAAAACTGAGTGATAAATAGCATATGCTGCACATACTAATATCATTATCGATAATGATAGAGACAAAAAACAAAACAAAACAAGGACAAGAACAAAAACACGAACACGAACAATAACAATAACAATAACACGAACTGGAACAAGAACACGAACAATAACAATATCAATAACACCGAACGATAACTATATCAACAACACGAACAAGCGCAAGAACATGAATAATATCAATATCAATAACAAGAACAGGAACAAAAACAAAAGCAATAACAAACAACGACAGCGTTTATGATACCTATAACAACAAAAAGACAGAGATAAAGAGGAAGATAAGACACCCCTCAAAAAGACAATCTATTACCCTTTGTCTGTTCGATTTCTGTAATAAAATGACAAAAAACAACAACACATACATTAACAAAAAAACAACACTTATGACAGCCATAACAGTACGTAGCGAAGACCTCAATATATTGAATATTTTATGATCTCTGCCCCTTCGAATTCCGTTGTAAAAGGGTCGATCTATACCTTTTCAACAACAAAGACAGCAAAAAAAACAAATAGGACTTACACAACAACAGCAACAACAACAAAATTACAACTACGACAAAAAAAAAAAACGTAAACAAAAACGACAACAGAACACAACAACAACAGAAAACAACAATAATTGATATAAATAAATTAACTCCGTGATCGATCCACACCTTACCTCCACCACTACCAACAACAACAACAACAAAGTCAACAACACCAACACCAACAAGAACACCATCGCCACCACCACCACCAACAAAATCAACAACAACACCAACAAAAACACCACCACCAACAAAGTCAACAACAAATACAACAAAAACAACACCACCACCACCAACAACAAAATCAACAACAAATACAACAACAACCAACAACCACCACCACCAACCACCCCCACCAAGCGCCCCCCAACCCCACCTCCGTCTGCTCGAACTCCGTGGTGGAATGGTCGATCCACACCTTACCACCACCACCACCAACAACAACAAAAGCAAAAACACCACCACCAACCAACACCACCACCCACCACCCCCCA